CCTCGTGGAACTGCGCGCCTAACTTTTGTGTGTATCCCGATCCTCGAATCGCCGAGCGATGTGGCCTTATGGGAAATAAGAAACTCGAAGAAACGACACCATTAGGAGACACAATCATGCCTCTCGGCGAATATCTCGGATTCAGACGGGAACGCTCGCTGATCGCGCGCGCGCGTTATGGACAAAACCTATCGTGTAACATTCCAGTCGGCAAATATACCTGCAGGCTCCTCGGGCTCGGTTCTGTGCTCTCGCGAAGCGTTTACACGGGAGAGACCGGGGGGATTCTATATATGGTCGGGGACCGGTGACCACGCGCACCAGTAAGTGGGCCCACACGCTCGTTCCCACAAGTTGCATAATATCGGCGATAGGTACTGCCTCGGAGTTACAATTATACGCGCAGGCATGCGGCGACGTCGTAGACTACCCGCGTGCTCCGCCGTCAGTACTGTCGCACTGATTCCTGGTGTCATTGCACTGTTCCACGTCTACCGCCTGTCGGAAGAATGACGGGAGTGGAGTTGTGAAAATATCAATTAAGCTCTTCTCAATTTTATAAGTCATTTGCCTGGTACAAAAGCGCTGTAACTTGTACATACCGTATTTGTCCACACAGTTCAGAAAATTTTCAAAGAACACTTCTGTATCTTTATTTATATTACTTGGATTTATAAAATTGAGAAATTTATTGACGGGAGTGGAGTTGTGAAGATATCAATTAAGCTTTTCTCAATTTTATAAGTCATTTGCCTGGTACAAAAGCGCTGTAACTTGTACATACCGTATTTGTCCACACAGTTCAGAAAATTTTCAAAGAACACTTCTGTATCTTTATTTATATTACTTGGATTTATAAAATTGAGAAATTTATTGACGGGAGTGGAGTTGTGAAGATATCAATTAAGCTTTTCTCAATTTTATAAGTCATTTGCCTGGTACAAAAGCGCTGTAACTTGTACATACCGTATTTGTCCACACAGTTCAGAAAATTTTCAAAGAACACTTCTGTATCTTTATTTATATTACTTGGATTTATAAAATTGAGAAATTTATTGACGGGAGTGGAGTTGTGAAGATATCAATTAAGCTTTTCTCAATTTTATAAGTCATTTGCCTGGTACAAAAGCGCTGTAACTTGTACATACCGTATTTGTCCACACAGTTCAGAAAATTTTCAAAGAACACTTCTGTATCTTTATTTATATTACTTGGATTTATAAAATTGAGAAATTTATTGACGGGAGTGGAGTTGTGAAGATATCAATTAAGCTTTTCTCAATTTTATAAGTCATTTGCCTGGTACAAAAGCGCTGTAACTTGTACATACCGTATTTGTCCACACAGTTCAGAAAATTTTCAAAGAACACTTCTGTATCTTTATTTATATTACTTGGATTTATAAAATTGAGAAATTTATTGACGGGAGTGGAGTTGTGAAGATATCAATTAAGCTTTTCTCAATTTTATAAGTCATTTGCCTGGTACAAAAGCGCTGTAACTTGTACATATCGTATTTGTCCACACAGTTCAGAAAATTTTCAAAGAACACTTCTGTATCTTTATTTACATTACTTGGATAAAACTGAGAAATTTATTGACGGGAGTGGAGTTGTGAAAATATCAATTAAGCTATTCTCAATTTAATAATCGATCTGGCCGTTTCAATTCAACTAACTGACGATTGATTCGAGAAAATCAATCAAAGAATATTTAATTGACGTCTCATCCCAGCGAATTCAGTCAAGGACAGTTTTATTGGCGATTGATACGAGCGAAGGGAATCGTTCAATTAACAATTAAATTTAATTAAAGGCCGTTCAACTGACTTACTGATTCGACTTAGCTAGTTTAATTAAAGGTCGTTTGCCTGGTACAAAAGCGCTGTAACTTGTACACACCCTATTTGTCCACACAGTTTAGAAATTTTTTAAAGAACACTTCTGTATCTTTATTTACATTACTTGGATTTATAAAATCCAACACATTTCCGGTACCCGCGATGAAAGAAGTTAGACTTCATTGTTCACCTACATATATAATACTGAGCCGTAACATTCTCGACGTGTAACCCGTTATAACACAAGTGTATACCTCGGATGCACGCCTATGTAGTTACCTTAATAGTTCCCAATTATTTAAATAACATCTTTACCGTGACGGCGATTTCGTTGTGCGAACGCGGCACACACTAAATATAATCTTGGACCAAATGACTCCTCCGCGACCACTGTCATTTTCGTAATCGTGTGTGAAAAGCGAAGTAGATATCGACCGTGATAGCGCGACGCGATAGCAATGCGCCTTTATGCCGCGGTTCCCATAACAATCTTGCGCAAAGTTCCACCAAACAGATTTTCTCAGATCGCACGTAACGTAAGCCAACATTACAGCGTCCACTCATCTCCTCTCATTCGTATCCCTCTATCTTAATCTGCTTTTAAGCATTGGAAATATTGACTCAAAAGGTTAATATTTCCAAAGGGAGAGACTTCAGTACACTTGGCGCTTCGAAGCAAACATGTGACACTTCAGTCTTAGGGGCACTGTTAACACTAGAACCAAAGCAGCCAAAAATTCTTTTAATAAAAATAAGCCGCCTTCAAAAATCTTAAAAAAGTTAGAAATCTTAAAAATCTTAAAACCTTACAACATATAAAATAATTTTGACCCAATAATTTAGAAATATTTTCATTTACAAAATTCTTTTTGTTCTTAAAGTGAAATCTGTATTATGTCAGCATTTCATTAAATGTTTATTTTATTATTACGACGGTTTTTTAGCTCTTTCTGCTTTATACAAATATAGAGTTACAAATATAGAGAATATGGGAAGGTTCCCTAATATGGGGAATTGCAGTTCTGAGCACTACAATATAGTGTGATCTAGGAATTGTTTTCAAAACTATTCTACATAATGCTCCTTTTTTATGTTAAACGTTATTAGTGTTTAGCGAGCGAGTAACAGGTGCAGTAAATGAAAACATTTTCTGTGCTGTCTAGAATATTTTTCATATTTTCATCATGATTTACTATACTTAAATTAAAACAAAATAAGTAATGTCGAGATTATTATATTATAGTTATATAAATAGTAAAATGAAGATAATATTATGTTAAATTTACGAACTAATAAGTTAGATTAGGAATCAAAACTCTAATATAAAGTAAAGATTATTGAAGTTTCTATTACGGATTATTAGTTCGATTAATTGCAACATATTATAGGTTTATTTTTTTTATTCAGGTGACAGAACTTCCTTAACTCAGTGCTAATTGTTCGATAATTGATAAGAGCTCGTCATCTTTTTCATTAAATCTTCAATACATCCTCCTCTTGGCGAAATTTATTGTGTTCCCAATACTACTTGCCTCATGCTTATTGTCGTCGCGTGTTGCTAGACCGAAGGCATCGTAGGCATCGCGTGGAATCAGAAGGATCTTTGTCGCTTCCATTTTTTTTTCTACTTGTCATTGTCCACATCCTGTGAAGTAAGCCGAGTGTTAATTCACAAGAGATTCGTCACGAGAGCGCTAGTATGTGCTCTAATCGGGACACTATCGCGCCGCCATTATACAGCCATTAGTGTCCTCTTATGTCAGCGTTCCTTTATGTTGTGAGAAGTTCGTAAATTCCAAAGATTAACGACGCGAATCTACGACCACGTATTTTACACAGCGGTCGGTTCGAGGGGCCATTTACGCGACTCGTAAAAATGTCATTCTGTCACATTTATTTCGTCATTTTTGCGAAGACGCGATAATTCAAGTTGTTCTCTCGCATTCGCGTATAAACGATTGCTTTACCTGAGATATTAAATGAAGAGCTTCGAGTGAAGAATTTTGGGCCCTGAGCGACATAAAGACGACCCTGACGAGATAGCGGGCACATCAAACCCTGAGACTTTCAAGGCGCAACGCGCGATTCCAGCACGCTAATCAAAAACGGGAGGAAGCCAGAGAGAGAGAGAGAGAGAAAGAGAGAGAGAGAGAGAGAGAGAGAGTCGTTTTAATGCTTCATAGTCGGCATTAAGTGCGCCGCTGGGATATCGTTCTTACGATACTTTACAGCCCGCAGTTAAGTTTTCCCCGGCCTGATCCGGCCCTTATTAATTTTCCAATTTCCCCCGGCCAGGATTCGCATAAATTCCGCAGATAATATTACGTTTCTAGTTACGATTATAGGTGCGTGAGACGACCAGAGACTGCATATCGCATTTACACAAAGTGTCTCATATTCATACAAACGTATCTTTTGAAGCTAATCATTTTACATTAAAAATGAGATGAAAAATATGGCTCTGTTTTTAGATTTTTAAGATGAAGAAGCAGAACTTCATTCTCTTGTGAGTTTCAAGGGCATTCCTTTATTTTGGTACAAACAAGATCGTGATTAAATATAATATAAGACAGATCAAGGTTGAGAGAATTACTTTTTAATTAATAATTAATTAAATAATTAGGTGTTTAATTGATAATTAATATGAGCCCATTCAATTAGAGACCGTTTAATTGACGATTGATTTCAACGAATTCAATTGAAGGTCTATTTAACATTGCTCCATTTTGTAATGCAGTTATATGTATACTGCTTTCTTATATCATTATATGAAATAAAGTCTATTATTGTTATTATTATTATTATTACTACTATATAAATCCCGACTACTATTTGTTGAAAATCAAATAAAAATTTCTGATTTAAAATTTTTTTATTATGACCATTACCATTTAAAGAATAAGAAGAAGTATAATTATAAAATGGAGTTTCAAGCAGATGTATAATTTATAAATAATAATAAAACTTGCAAGAGTCAGCACAAGTTGGCCATTGTGGAAAATCAATGAACAACTTATCTGGTTCATCAAATGGAAGAAGTTACGATTCTTCCTTCCGGTTTATAATATCGAAGGACAGAACGTGAATACTATGAGCTATATTGTGTAACATAATTATACACAACCATACATGCTCAGTTTATGAAATTTGCTGATTGCAGCGATGACGGCAGGGACTGCCTACGATGTTTCCGGCCGATACGGAGGTCGCGGAACGTCATCGAGGTGTTCTCGGAAGCCGTCAACAGGTGTTACACGTCCGAGTCGGCTGCCTTGGCCTCCTGCGACACACTGAACTCTGCATCGATCCTGTACCGTAAGTATAAGTCGGATTTCTCTCGATAATCGTTCACTCGCTCCGTAACAGAGGCCGCGCGACCCGTGACGCGCGTCGGGCCAAGTATGAGGCATACTTATGATAATGAGCGCGACCTCATAATCATCGGATATCGCAAAAGCGAGCCGATCTGTCCCGATAATTGCCTTTTCTCACGGTTAAGCACGGGTTGAATTATGGCTAATGCGAATTGATACGAGTTCTTATGTCGAGCGAACTTTTTCTGCGCGACTGCGAAGTTTGTGTCTCGCTCGTGGAAGCGAAGAAATCAGGCGAATGTGGAGCGAGCGTAGAGAGGTACGCGCGAATGCTCGCGGAGAAACACTCATCAGCGATACAACGCCGCGAGTAATTTCGAGTTTCCAAGGAATAACATCACTAACGAATTGATTGATTTAGAGTAACTGAATTAATATAAGACTTGGCACACCATATTTAAAAATGTGACATTTTTTTTAAAGTTT